TTGTTTCACAAAGATCTGGTTCCTACTGTTTTCCACCCTCTCCATCTAGCATGAACAATTTGGCTTAATAAACCTATTGTTTTATAGCTCTCCTAGGTCAGGCCATCACTTCCAGATCCCATGTCTTTCTTTTCCAATAGGTTCGCAGGTAAAGGTGCCAGAGAAGTAAATTATCTGAGTCCTTGCATATCTGAAAATGTCCTTATTCTACTTTTTCATGTAATATATTCAATGGACAATACAGAAGTTGAAAATACCTTTAGAATTTTGAAGGCATTGCTCTGTTATTCTCTGAAACTCTGTGTTGCTGTTGAGAAGTCTGATGCCATTCTAATTCTTTTTTTTTTTTTTTTTTTTTTTTTTTTTGAGATGGAGTTTTGCTCTGTCACCCAGGCTGGAGCGCAGTGGTGTGATCTTGGCTCACTGCAGCCTTTTTGCCTCTCAGGTTCAAGTGATTCTCCTGCCTCAGGCTCCTGAGTAGCTGGGACTACAAGCGCTCACCACCAAGCCCAGCAATTGCATTTTTAGTAGAGTTGAGGTTTCACCATATTGGCCAGGCTGGTCTCGAACTCCTGACCTTGTGATTTGCCTGCCATGGCCTCCAAAGTGCTGGAATTACAGGCATGAGCCAGCATGCCCAGATGCCATTCTAATTATTTTACTTTGTATAATTTTTTCCTACTCTCTGGAAATTTATAGGTTATACTTATCACCCATAATATTTTAAAATATGATTACAAATTTTGATGTGGATTTCTCCTTGTGCTGCATACTCAGTGTTCCCTTTTAATAAAGAAACATGTTTCTTTTAACTTTCTTGTATTCTTTCATTGAAAATTTCCTCCTCTTTTTTTAGTTTAGTTTTGTTGTTTTGCCCTGTTTCATTTTTGTGAATCCTATTAAATTAGGTATTGGCTTGCCTAGATGGATTCTTAGTTATATTTTATTTCCTACTTTCCATTTCTTGTTTTGTGTGTCCATTTATTTTTGTTGTTTTATTTTGGGGAGATATTTCCTGAATTTTAATTTTCTAAAATGTCTTTTTTATTTTCTAGTTAAAAATTGAGAGGATATTTCGTGTTTGTTTTTACTTCTAAAAGCTCTTCTTTGACGCTTGACTTTTTAAATAATATCCAGCTGTTGGTTGATGGATATATCGTCTTCTGATACCTCTCCAAGGTATTAATTAGAATTGTTTAAAGTTTCTTTTTTTCCTTTCAGTATCTGTTTCCACTGTGTTCCTTTTTTTCTATTTGTCTATACTGAGCTCTCTTTTTTATGCTGGAGGCTTTCTGTAAATAAGTGTTAATCTTTAGTTATAAGTGAGGCAGTGTCAAAGTCATTAGAACCTCTGAGTGGGCTAGAAATACTTGACTAGCACACTTCACTTTCAAGTGAACCAGAGGGGAGGTTGACTACCTTTCAGGATGGCATACAAATGGCAGTATATATGGAGTTCATTTTTCTCTGGGAGGTGACTTTCAGTTCTCCAGAGAAGGTCTTTCAATATCATCAACCTGAAGTATGAACCAAAGGCATTCTTTGGCTGAGAGTGAAGAGTAATGGGCAAGAGGGACATTTCTACATTGTATTTAAAATAATCTCTATATTTAAATATTCTGAATTTAAAATATTCTTCCTGTTTTTATCTCAATATCACACTGCAATTTTTGCCATGTCTTGAGCCTCTCCTTGGTTACCTGGGAGCAACTCCACTCCTTATGTATCTTTATGCTCCTCTGAATGCAATTTAAAACACTTTTTCAGAGTGGTTTTAGGCCCACAGCAAAATTGAGAGAAGATGCAGAGATTTCCTATGTATTTCTGCCCATACACATGCACAGCCTCCCCCATTATCAAAATCCCCACTGGAGTGGAGCATTTGTTACATTTGATGAAGCTACATTGACACATCATTATAACTCAAGTTTGCAGTTTTCAGTGTAATCTACTCTTGGTGTACATTCTGAGTAGATTTTAATCCCTAATTTCCTTCAGTCCACTCATCTGCAACCACTCTTGAATCTGCTTGTATCTTCCAGAAATTGTTGATATTTCTTATTCATTCCACCCACTAATATTTTCCCTCATTTTTTTAGCTTTATGGACTTATAACGCATTATAAAAGGTTTTTGATATCATTTTAGCAGACTCTTGAGAGGAAGAAATGATAAAACCTGTGTAGTTGTTTACTATCTTTAACCAGAAATCACGGTTTTTATTTTCATAGTTATTTTTGATGGTGGCTGATTTTTTTAACTTTTTTAGATTTTCAGAAAAATAGAAAATTCTTGCTAGACATTTAAGATATAATTGAGAGTTTTGAAAAATTCTCTACCAACAAGTTTAGTACTTGTTAAAGCAATCAAAAAGATCTTGCCTAGTCAAAGGCCTCACTTAAAGTTGAACATGGTAAAAGACACTTCCCATGGTTGATAAAGTAGGGAAAAAAATGCTCTGAACTTAAAAGCCTTAGAATGGGCCTGTTCTAAATCTGGTCAGTTTCATTTATTGTCTCTATGGATAATAGTAATCAGGCAACAGTTGTGGAACATGGAGCGAGCTGGACTGGCTACAACCAACAGTTTCCCAACAACTGCCAAAGAGCCATCATAGATGGCTTGAAATCTTGCAGAAGTTGTGTGTAGAATCTCTGCACATCTACCTTCATATTTCTTAATCTGTTCTTCAAGTCATTGAGAAACCTTTTCCTTTCCCATTTATTTTGATGCTAAACAATATATTTCTCTCCATATCAAAGAATCTGACTTCTTGTTAATCTGACAAGACATTATGTAGGATGCCTGAAGTTGTAACAGTGTGAAATAAGGGTAATTATGGCTACAGTAGAAGAGTTAAACTTTGATGTCTTGGTTGAGATGTTAGATGACATTGAGAGGGTCAAGCAGCAGCGGAGAAAGCAGAATGAGTTCATTATTTTTGGTAAAATATTTCCATATGTACCTGACTGATGTTCATAACTAAGTTTCCACATAGAATTATTCCAGTAATTAGGCTCCAGAAGTGTGATATTCAGGTGGTAGTTCTACTATTTCAACTCTGATTGTGCAGAAGGCAGCCTGTGTTCTTCATGAATAATAGATAAGCACTGATCATTTCATTTTAAGTGGAATTCAAACCAAAAAATAGTTGATGTTTATGTCATTTTAAAATTCAGGATTGGAAAGAGAAAGAACATTTATCAAGTGAGCTAAAAATGAAAAAAAAAGTAGAAGTGTATCAACTTTTAAGACTTAGTTACTTAGAAGGTAGTCCCCACAACTAGCTAAGACTAATTCCACTTTTGAAATAAACAGCATCTTCTAATTAATAACTCATTTTATAATTCAGCTGCCCTCCTGGCCTTCCTCGTGTTTAGAGGGGAGTGAAAAATAAGCCAATAATTATACATTAGAATGTGACATATACACAATAAAGAGAGGTATGTTTAATGAGTAATGTGAAGCACAGGTTTCCAATTGACCAAGACATGAGCCTGAATCCCAGATCTGTCATAAAATATGTATATAACCTTGGGCAAATCTTGAGAAACCAAGATTCAATACTTACTAAAGAAAAGCAAATAAGGCAGCTCCCTGCCCTTAAGAAACTTACAGAAGAGGCAGACAAATATGTTATTTAGGAAAAAGAGTGATTATTGCTATGGCAGAAGAATGTACAGGGTGTTATGGGAATACATAAAGGTGAATTTAAATCCAATGAAATGTCCACGAAAACTTGGCAGAGATGTGAACTTTGAAAAACCAAGAAGGTGTAAGAGGTGGGATTCCAAGTAAAAGCAAGGACATAAAACTTTATGTGAACATGTTCAGGGGTTGGACAACCTCTTAGAGACAAGGAGAGTCAAAGAAGGTTTTAAATGGGAAGATCAGGGTTTTCAAATTAGGATTTTAGTTAGAGCAATTGAGAGCAATATAGAGGGTAGACGGAACAAGAGGAGACTCACAACAGGGAGGTTGGTAATTTATCAGATACTCCTGGTGAGAAAGAATACAATACACATAGAGCATTCCAGGTAAAAATGGTGAGGGACTGAGGCTACAGGGGACTGGCTTGTCCAGGTTTGCTTGGGACTTTCATGGATGTAGCACTGAAAGTTTCATGTCCCAGTTTACCTGGACTATCTTGGTTTTAAAAACATGGCAAGTCTCATGTCCCAGGAAATTCTTCATACCCAGACAAAGCAAAATATGCTGAAGGTAGAAGAGAAATAGCTGGGAACACTAATCCAAGTGACATCCAGGAGGTAATACTAAGACACAGAATTAGTTGGTTGTTGGAAGAGTGGTAAGAGAGAGGGAGAAGGTGAAGACAGTAATAAGGTTTGTAGTTTGTTTGATGGAGAAGCTCACTGTAGCATTATCCAAGAGAGATTATATCAGTACATGTAAATTCTTTCAGATCATGGACGTTTACCTCTACCTCACAATCCCAGTCAATCATGCAACTTCTGTATGTGTGTTCATCAGAGCGGTGTCCTGTCTTAATTCTAGCATTTTGATTGATTTGCTATTTGGATCAAAAAATATCAGTACAAAGCAATCTTTTAGTGGCTACATCTTTCAGTGGTTCCATAAGATGGAAATACGTAGCAATACCGAGACCACAGCATGACAACGTGGAGACAGTATGCTTACTCAAAGTACAGGTAATGGCATTTCTATTTTTTTAGATTATCCTCTGCAGGTCAGGATTGAATTTTACAGTCTGGTTCTCCGAAATGATCCATTTTGACATTAATGCCTCATGATCCCTGGCAGCTTGCTGAATTTAGTTCTCTGAACATGTCAAAAATAAACGAACTTCAGTGTACCATTCTTATAAAACACATTTAAAATGTTGCCATTTAGAAAATCCAAGAGAGAAATAAAAGAAGCTAGTCAGCTCATCTAAAAATTTTCAACTAGATATTTGATATTTATGTTGTTTTTCTAATTCCTGGATGATGAATCACATTCTTTCATTCTTTCCTAAACCAGCTTGATTGTGCAAGCCACAGATAAAGGGATGCCCAGGCTTTCTAATACAACTGTGATCAAGATACAGGTGACTGATATAAATGACAATGCCCCAGCTTTTCTCCACTCTGAAGCAGTGGAAATTGCAGAAGGTAAGTGTGACAATTTGGCATAGTGGTTTTGATTAACTTGTATATCATTTTCTATTTTCCTTTAGCCAGACACTGTATTAAACACGAGTGCTGATCCTCAACAACCATGCAAGCTAGAACATTTTTGTCTTCCTTTTGCAGAATAGAAAATGGATGGTCATAAGTAAAATATTAAATGTCAAAGGAGTAAAATATTAAAGCTGCGATTTGCTCTCAGATCAGTGGAGGCCAAGTCCCCATGCTCTAACCGTCATTCCTTACAGTATCTGTTTATATACCGACTTCTCACCAATGAAATCTACTCAATGAAAAAGTATATTTTGTTTACTGTGATAACCATTGTGAGCCTCCTCTAAGAAGAATCAGCATTCATAACTCTGTCAGTCTTTTCAGGATACTAATAACAAGTAATTAGATGTTTAATGAAGTGAATTAGATGTTTATTGCACAAAGCCATCGATTTTCCCAGAATAACCTAATCTTCAACGTTTGTATCACACTAATTGTAGAGGTTGAAACTGGGAAGTTTTTAAATGAGATGCTTGTTAATTTTTTTTTTTTTTTTTTGAGACCAAGTCTCACTCTGTTGCCCAAGCTGGAGGGCAGTGGTGCCATCTTGGCTCACTGCAACCTCTGCCTCCTGGGTTCAAGTGATTCTCCTGCTTCAGCCTCCCAAGTAGCTGGGACTACAGGCATGTGCCACCATGCTGGGCTAATTTTTGTATTTTTTGTAAGACGGGGTTTCACTATATTGGCCATGCTGATCTTGCACTCCTGACCTCATGATCTTCCCACCTTGGCCTCCCAAATTTTGGGGATTACAGGCGTGAGCCACCATGCCCATCCAGTTAATTTTCATTATTTGGATCTGTGGATTATCCAATGATCCCATAGTCTGTGGACACAAAGTTGTTCATGGTCAATGGCTGTGCTGGTGAAACACAACCCAAGTCTTTACGGTTGAAGTTGAAAATAATGGGGGCCCCTTGCTTGCCTCTCCACTTCACTCTTAATGCTAAACTAATTCCTAAAAATGTTTCTAATATTTTATTATATTCACTTTCTAAACAAATTACAACCATCACCTCTCACAGAGGGAAATATTCCAGAAATGTTTATTCATAGAGATATCTACAAATACTATAGCCTACAAATAAAAGAAATTATCCAGTTCTGCCTCTCATACATTTGATGTATTTTCATTTGATTTTATGGAAGGTTCTATTTTTCAGCACATGCAATTAGTGTTAAACTTTACCAATGGTCCTAATATAAATATATCACAAGAAGAAACTACATAAATCAAAACATGCTGAATGGGGTATGGTGTGGTTAGTGCACACTGAGAGTGTTCAAGCTTGAAAATGGAAAATTATGAGTTTCATATACAGTGGAACTATTCTGAGCATCTTGGCATATTCTTTCCACCTGTACCATATCGGTAAGCTTAAAAACAAAGTCCCTTTCATGGGCTGTTTAGGCTAGAGAACATATGTGGTGAGTGAGGCATTGAGCATGTCATCTATTTTGTAATTTTTTGGTGAATAATATTCGAGATTTGCTTTCCTTGCTAGTACTATGTAGACTTTGTTTTTCTATAGTCTTAATAATTTTGAGATTTAAGAAAAAAAGCAGTGTGTGCACCACTCTAAAAGAAATAACTGTTCAAAAATACATTTAAGGAAATAAGTATCTAATTCTAAGATTAGTGCCCAAATATTTATACTGACCTACTTTTGCCAATGCCATATTTTGTAATAATGTTCTGAGTAATACCCTTCATCCCATTCACATACCCCATGAAGATACGCTTTTGATACAGAAACTGTATATTATAAATAAGTGGCTTAGAATGTTTTCTTGTTACTAGAATTGTGTTGTAAGCATATGATGAAAATAATGTAATATAAACATTAAATATACCCTACCTCCTCAATTCCCTACTCAGTGGTAAATTTTCACTTTTATTGGGCTCATAAATTTTTCAGAGTTTTTGTTCAGTGCATAATGAGCTTTGTACGGGAAATCAGGCCAAGAAAGAGCAAATCATGTTGGCCTTAGAATAAAAACACTTGGATGGAACTATGAAAGAAATGTATTTCAAAGGATAGATTTTAATGGAGACTGACATGGGTCATGACTATTTCAGATTCTTTGCCTGGTGTAATTGTGACTCATGTGTCAGTCCATGATGAGGATTTGAATTCAGCTTTCATATTCAGTTTTGCCAAAGAGAGTAATCCTGGAGCCAAGTTTGCTATTGATCCGAACACTGGAGTGGTGGTGTTGGTGAAAACACTGGATTTTGAAGAAGTGACTGAATATCGGCTGCTCATCCAAATTTCTGATTCAGTGCACCGCACAGAGGGAGCACTTGTAGTCCGTGTGCTGGACGTCAACGATAATCTACCAGTGTTTTCTCAAGAATTCTATCAGGTAAAGGGCTTAAAGGGATACTGAAACCACAGCCCTAACTTGAAAGAATAGAAAATGATGTAAGCCTTCCATTGCCAACAGACAGCATTCACTGTTTTTAGTGCCTAAGTTAATGCTGTGGATTTTATACTTAATATCATGGAGTCTATAAGTACATATGGAAATGAAAGTCTCATCTGACTTAGTTTACTACGTATATATATTTTTTACTCTTTAGAGGTTGTAGTCCAGTGTTTCATGACAATTGGAACCTACCTAATATTTGCAAAACCACTGATAAGATTGTTTGCATTATCAGCAGTTAATTTGGGGAAATTCTTTCTTTCATAGACATATTTTTGGAATGTATTGAGTAAAATTTTACAGAAAAAATCATAAAACTATAAATTGGAAATTTCAGCTTTTAGAGCATAGTGTATGTTTATAGAAGTAAGGGCCAGGATAGCGTTCAACTTAATACTTGCAAATGGACTCCAGAACTTTTGAATGTAGCAAATGCAAGATTTAAGTGTAAACACAAGGGGAGGTTAACCTAAGTAACGATCCCCCGTGAAGGCTTGCTTGAATTATGCCATGCTGTAACATAATACATGAGTGAATGTATTAACTATCTTCTGCCACATAGAAATAGTTTAGAAGAAATTTTTTTATAATGAAAAAATTGGAATAAAATAATTTTTAAAACTTATTTTTTTCTGGCCAGGTGTGGTGGCTCACCCCTGTAATCCCAGCCCTTTGGGAGGCCACGATGGGCAGATCATCTGAGATTAGGAGTTCAAGACCAGCCTGGCCAACATGGTGTAACCATGTCTCTACTAAAAATATAATGATTAGCCTGGCGTGGTGGTGGGGCACCTGTAGTAGCAGCTACTCAGGAGGCTGAGGCAGGAGAGCTACTTGAACCCAGGAGGCAGAGGTGGTGGTGAGTCAAGATCGCACCGCTGCACTCCAGCCTGGGCAATAAGAGTGAAACTTTGTTTCAGAAACAAAACAAACAGTATCTTTATTTTTCCTGACTCCAGGGACTATTCACACAATATTTTTCATATGTCAATTCCATAAATTAATATGTCTAATAAAGTCACGTTGTATTGCATGGTTTCCATAATCAAAATGAATAAAATGACCTCAAGTTCTGGCCCTGTTTGTAAAAATATCTTCAGCCTTTAAACACAATGTCCCTATTTTTCTCTTTTTCCCTCAGGTCACAGTTCCTGAATCAATACCTGTGGGGTATTCAGTGCTGACTGTGTCAGCCACAGACTTAGAAAACAATGCGAACATTTCTTACAGAATTCTTTCCTCTTCTAAGGAATTCTCCATTGATCCTAAGAATGGTGAGTTATTTATAGTTGCATTAGTGCTCATAGGTTGGAGTTTCAAAGTGGAAACCTGAAGTAACCCTTTCTAAATGCCCCTAAAAAAGTCCCCCCCCCCCCGCCACCTCCACAGAATAAGAAGCATGACTGTTTAATTACTCTTCACATCAAGTGCTGCAGTAGCCAATGCCAGTGTTAGTTCTCTTCTCCAACATCTCAGTGGCTGGAAAGCAAAAGTCCCTGGTTAAATGCTGGTAAATGCTCACAAATTCAGAGACCCCAGTATAATAAACACTCAGGTTCATTCGGCCAGCTAAGCTCAGTTCAGGCAATTATCCCAGGAATCAGCAGGAATCAACATGATGTTGTATGGATTATTCTGTGCTGAAGACTTCATCTTACTAGAGTTTGGATGCTTTTCCCCAAGCCAAGTTAAAAAAATCAGTAATAGCATTATGTGTTCGATAAGCATTATGAACATTATGTGTTCAAGAATCATTTAAAAAGGAAAATTATTTAAGCATATCTATCAACTAGAAACCATTGTGGTATTTTGGTTTATAAGACACTTCCCAAAGCTTTTTGTCTTTTTGTCAGAGACCAAGACATTTGTGGTTGTGAAATGCATTCAGACAAGTGATTCCACATTCAATTAAACAGTATATAGAGAAAGTTTAACAGTGAGTGAACATTAAAAGCTAAATTTTATAAAGAGGAATAATTAGCAAAACAATGTCCCTAGCAGAGCACAATGGAAAATAACAGGGCCTGGGACCCATCATACTCTGTGTTCCCCATCTCTATCCACTATTGCATCAATTCACAAGTGAGAGTTCATTTAAAAATCAACCTTGGAATTATCTGAAAGGGGAATTTAGTCCCAAAATACCAGCATGAAGCCCACCTGATGTTGTAAATGGAGAAGTATATCATGTATCATGTTGCCCGTGGATGAACAATTACTCCATGAACACAAACATATCATGCTTTCTCTCTTTCTCTCTCTCTCTCTCTCTCTCTCTCTCTCTCTCTCTCTCTCTCTCTCTCTCTTTCTCTCTCTCATCTCATCTCATATGATAGCAACTGCCACCCTGGCCACAGCAAATCACAGTGTGCAAGTCCTTCTGAGCACTCAATCCTTAGCAACACTTTCATTTGACATGTGCTATCAACAAATTTTGCACTGAGCTGTTGACTCAAATATTTTTTAAACATTAAATGACAGGCTATTTAGTTCATAGTGGGACTCTAATTGAAATGTGGCATTTAAATGGCAATATTCCATATTCTTTCTTAGTGATCATCCTTAAGACACATTTATCTTAACAATGTTTTGACACACATATTTATAAAAACTATATATTTCTGTATTTACCACAATAAACTCTATTAGCTACATTCAGCAATAAGGGAAAAATCAACTTGCATGACCTTTAGGAAAGCTCATCTCAGCATCATCATTTTTACTGCTTTCATTTGGCTTGCGTGTCAACAAGTATTTCCAGAATAAGTATCTTATTTTATTTTATTATTTGTGGAGATGGAGTCTCACTCCGTCGCCTAGCCTGGAGTGCAGCAGCATGATCTCGGCTCACTGCAACCTCTGACTCACAGGTTCAATCAATTCTCCTGCCTCAGCCTCCCAAGTAGCTGGGACTACAGGCATGTGCCACCACATCCAGCTAATATTTGTGTTTTTAGTAGAGACAGAGTTTCACTACGTTGGCCAGGATGGTCTTGATCTCCTGACCTCGTGATCTGCGCGCCTCGGTCTCCCAAAGTGCTGGGATTATGGATGTGAGCCACTGTGCCCTGCCCAGAATAAGTATCTTTATGCCAGAATATCTCTATACATGTGTTTGTGGGTAGTAGAATCAGGTATAAATTTTACAAACAAAAATTTTTTTAAGAATAGTGGAACAACTTACTCTACAAAAATAAAATTCAGAGAAATTTGTGGCAAAAGCAACCTCAAGCTGCACACATATTTCACAGAGTGAATGTCATGAATATTATTTCTGTATCTTACATATTATAAACATATACATATATACAATAATTTGTATTTCTATTTGGAGTTATTAAGGTTGTGACTTAACAAATCTAACAAAGAATTGAACACATATTAGTAGACATTCAATAATCATCTGCTGATTAATTGGATCACGAAACTGCACCTCATAATGCTGAAATACTATGTCTTATTTTGCAGGCACAATATTTACTACCGGTCCCATATTGCTTCTGGATAAAATATCAACAACTCAATTTCTTGTTGAAGCCAGTGATGGTGGAAATCCTGAGCTGAGAGCTCTTACATTAGTGGAGATAGGAATACAAGATATGAACAATCATGCCCCTGAGTTCACAGTCAAATCCTATAATCTTAGCCTAAGTGAGGATGCTCTGATTGGAAGCACGCTTGTTACATTTTCAAACATCGACCATGACTGGACCCCTGAAAACACATATGTTGAATATTCCATCATCAGTGGTAATTTACAGAACAATTTTCATGTGGAAACTAATTTCATTCATTCAGAATATCCTTATAAGCAAGTCGCTTACCTTGTGTTGCTTCACAGTCTGGACAGAGAAGCAAGTGCTAGCCATGAGATTGCCATTCTAGCATCTGACAGTGGCTGCCCTCCACTGAGTGCCACAGCTGTCATATCAATACAAGTACTTGATGTCAATGACAATCCTCCAAACTTCAGCAGCCTGAGCTATCACACCCATGTCAAGGAAAGCACCCCTCTAGGGAGTCACATCACTGTAGTCTCAGCAAATGATCGTGACACAGGGTCACATGCAGAAATCATCTACCACATCATCTCTGGAAATGAGAAGGGACATTTTTATTTAGAAGAAAACACTGGAGTTCTTTATTTGATTAAACCTCTGGATTATGAAGAAATGACAAAATTCACCTTAACTGTCCAAGCTTCAGATGCAGAAAAGAAACACTTTTCTTTTGCAGTTGTGTTTGTCAATGTCCTGGATGATAATGACCATGCACCTCAGTTTATGTTTTCAAGTTTCAGCTGTGTTGTTCCTGAAAATCTGCCTGTTTCCTCTACCATATGCTCTATCAGTGCTCTCGATTTTGATGCAGGTCCATATGGAGAATTGACCTATTCTATTGTATCACCCTGTTTACTCATTCACGGAATGTCTTACAATCATGATCTCTTCCTTATTGACCCTTTGACAGGGGATATTCATGCTAAGCAAATCCTTGACTATGAAAATGGCAATAAATACTGCCTCACAGTCCAAGCCAAAGACAAAGGTGATGCAACAGCCTCTTTAGTGGTCTGGGTGGATATTGAAGGGATAGATGAATTCGAACCCATTTTCACTCAAGATCAGTATCTTTTCACCCTCCCAGAAAAGAATAAAGACAGACAGTTGCTTGGAAGAGTGGAAGCCTCAGATGCAGATGCTGGTATTGATGGAGTCATTCTTTATTCTCTTGGAACCTCATCTCCTTTCTTTTCAGTAAATAAAACCAATGGAAATATTTATTTGATTAGAGCCCTTCCCCTAATAAAAAGTCAAGTCAACAAAGAAGACATAATGGAAATGAAAATAATCGCTCATAGCCCCAAACCAGACTCCAAGTTTGCATCTTGCACTGTTTTTGTGAATGTGTCTTTCTCCTCTGAAGGAACACACTTGGCAGTGTTCACCAGCAGCTTTTCAATCAGCCTGGTGGTCTCCTTTTTAGTGTTTCTGATACTCATCTGCATTCTAATTGTACTGATTTTAAGACATAAACAAAAAGACACAATAAACAGTTATGACGAGAAGAAAACCTCATCTTTAGATATGGACTTGAAAGTTAACAGGGATCCCAGTGTGCTCAAAGCCTTCCAGAAAACTGATGACTGCAGGAACAAGGTGGTGCCCGTAGATGCCACGCCGGAATGGTTGAGTTTAATTAGTATGGGGAAGGACATTGTCAATCTGTACAGACACTCAAACTCCAGTGGCCACTGTTTTGTGGAAGGAGAAACTGCAGAAGACAAGGAAATCCAGAGGATAAATGAGCATCCCTACAGAAAGGGCTCAGACTCAGCTCTGAGTGACTGCGAGTCCAGGGTGCCAGACTCGGGTATCCCCAGGGACTCGGACCAGCTCTCCTGCCTATCTGGGGAAACCGATGTGATGGTGACTGCTGAAACGGCGGATGCCAGCCAAATGCTTGGGGAAGGAGATCGAGGGGAAGGCTACGGTACCATCTGTGCTCAAAATAATGTGTTACCCCAGAGAGTTCAGAAGAGAGAGGCAAAAGAGAGTATCCTGGCTGATGCTAGAAAAGAGTCTGTCTTTATTTCAGGTGATCAAGAAGTAAGGTGTGCAGCTCTTTCAACTCAGACAACCTCTGATCATGATGGAAGAGGCAACTATCACTGGAATTATCTTCTCAGTTGGGAACCCAAGTTCCAACCTCTTGCCTCAGTATTTAATGATATTGCGAAACTAAAGGATGAACATGTGCATATGCCTGGCATTCCAAAAGAGAAGAAATCTTTTGTTTTTCCACCCCCTTTGATAACAGCAATAGCCCAGCCTGGGATTAAAGCAGTCCCACCAAGAATGCCAGCAGTAACCCTGGGGCAGGTGCCTCAGAAACACCCACGCTCTCCCATCCCCTATCATCTTGGTTCTCTGCCAGAAGCCATGACTCCCAGTTTTTCTCCATCTCTTTCCCTATTGACCATGCAGCCTCCTGCCTTGTCTCCACTGTTATCAGAAGGAGAATTATTAGGAACACACATCAGTGGTACATGCCATGAACTTAAAGTAGAAGATGAAATTCAAATATAAAGCCACTGGGATGCCAAGTACCTGCTCACCATCGGTCATGAATAAATGAACAAAACATTCTCAGCCAGCAACTCAAGATTGGGCTCATTTTTATCTAAAAGCAAGTGATATACTTTAGTCAGAGTTTTTTAAACCTCCCCATTAAAGTTTCTCGAATTTTTTCCAGCCTTAATGAAAAATTATTTCCTCTTTTAATCCTTATATGTTGCTCTCAGGACTCACATTTGTATATATCGAGTAGTGTATATTCTGTCATACTTGTTGTCTGTTTGATTAGGCTTCCAAAGGACACAGTGAACTTAACTGACTGCCAGGGTGTTTATACTGTAACAAAATATAGTGTACTCTGGTCACATTGCTGCTGATTACACTGCTATATCTAAAACAAATTAGTAAAGGCAAAATATGAGATAAGTTTTGGTCAGAACATATTATAACAGACAGGGGAAGTCTAAATGGATAAACTTTAGTTTTAAGATAAAGCAACAGTCGGTGGATCTCATATATTTAGAGGAATATTTCTCCATCGTTTCCCCAAATATCACACCTGTACAGTTTAGCCATAATTGAAGTTCAATTTGGAGTCTTTGGGAAATCTAATGAGAAATTAAGAATGGAATTTGTCATAACTCTGTGCCAATAAGGTGAAAACGAGTAAGATAATTATTCCTGATTAAATAAAGCAGAAACGCATGTTCATGATAGAGGGCCAGGATTGATACTCACAGTATTTATGTGATTTGCTATCACCTGAGATATATTATCTTGGCCTTTACAAACAGAATGGCTTTTTTTTTCCAGGTCTTGTCTTATAAGTCAGTGTGAGTAAAGACATTAAACTTCAAAGATTAATTTATAGAAATTTTTTCATTTTATTTTCTTCTAGATACAGTAACTTTTTGTGTGAAATAATTTATCCACATAGTGTCAGTTTTTAAAGTTTGTGTAGATAAAATCATGTTATTAGCTAATGATAAATCCCATGGAGTAATTTAGCAATATATTTTTAAATGAAGTTTTTTAATGGAAATGTTTCTACTACAAAAGTTAAAAAGTCAGAAGTCTTTTAACCATTCGCTCACACTCATGTGCAGCTTTAACTGTCAAGAGGTGGAGCAGTTTGGCACATGGTTAAAATGACTCTGTACAATTACTATTTTAGAAATATAGCAGTGCTATATGGTGCTCATATACAGTGCTCTAGCCTTCTTTCTGATGAGTCTGGGAATCCCATGAAGATTCTCATCCCTCTAAGGAAGGCGGAGTGCATCCTGACGATGGTGGTCCAGAAGTCATCTTCCCATGGTTGGCACCAGGGCCAGGTGTTAAGCTAACAGTTCAGGAATTTTAATGTGAAATCTAAAGGTTATTGTGTGGCTTTCTTAGTAGTTAGGATGGGCTTCTACTACAGAAATAGTTCCTTTGTGTTTTTCTTCTGTAGGCATCATCTGTGAAATATTGTGACATAATTTCTCTTTACTAAAAAATAATTCAGGGTGCAGTGTTTGATATCTGGTTTTGTAGATAAATAATTCTGTAGCTTCCTATGCTGATATTATCTATTATATATCTATGCTGACTCAGAGAACAAATGTATAAAGCTACATTACAAACTGTATGAAACATGAAGGTTTTTTAATAAGCCTGAAATCCTAGGAAAAATCCTGTAGACTGGGAAATTTAAATAGTGTGAGACTGATACATGTTTCTCCTTTTCTTCTTGGAATCTGGGGAAGAAGATTTTATGACTTATGTTAAAAACAAAACAAAAAAACCCACACAATTAATCATTTATGTGTTCGACTATTTATTATCTTTCTGACTCTTTTGAAAACACTGCTTTGAACATAGAAAGAAAGTCTATACTATTTTTCCTAATTGTGTATGGAAGTTTTCCTTTCACAACAGAATTATTTCTGGAAACTAAGAACATTTTGTTGTTTTTAATTAAACAGGTTCTTTATTTACTATGCTTAAAAAGAGTTATTCATCTACCTATTTCTGAAGTTATTTATTACTGTGATTTATTTACTCATTATGGATGTGATTCTGTATATTTTCTAACCATTTCATAAAAAAAAGAAGACATATAGTTGTTGTTAGAGCTTCTTACCAATATTTAATGGACTTTTAATTGATAGATTTATTAATCTGTATCCAGTGCCACACCACCACCAAACAAGTACTACAAGTGGGATTGTGGGTAAAAATGTGAACACTCTGGTTAAGTGTTTGCAATAAATCGTGTGTCAGCCCTTTCAACTAGAGTGCTTTTTTTTTTTCCTAAGTAAACAATATAATTTGTACATTTTTCCTTCAAGTTTAATATTAACTTGCCTCATATGTTCTGGGTTACTTTGCTGATCTATGCACTGGCTTTAGCACTCTGGAGGGGGTACAGAACTTGTTAGTGGAAAATCATATTAAGCCCAAATTCATAAGCTATAAAATAAAAGACAGTTGTCTCTTGTGGAATTTTGGCTGCCTGAAATTCTGGACTTTCTTGTTGGCAGCCTTAAAATACTGGTGTAAATCAGTACCAAATGGATATCAAAATTCCATGTCCTAGTAGTAATCATTGAATTGGCTTCCAAAACAGATTCCTGGGCAAAGAAAAAGAAAAATGCTGTATTCTTAGGGATTTGATCATTTAACTCTTTTAAAAATTATTAAAATGCACTCTATACTACGGCTGCCTCCATGTATTCATATTCAGTCTACAATAGATGTCCAGTTGAGACAGAATTGTGTTTCTCAGTGCCTTTACCTTTACCCTCCTTGCTGTGCTTTCTAGAAGTTACAGCAATGATTTGATTGTACATTTTAAAGTTATTTTCATCCAAACATATACTTTGTTACCTTTGTTTTACCATTCTATACATACCTTAACTTTAAAAAGCAAGACATAACTAAGGAGCTAAGATAATCCACTTCAAAGCAATAAAATACATGGAGTTCATATGGTCAGTGTATTCTCACATGATATTCCAGATAAGCTAATTGGGTTTATTTTCACAGCATGTTTTATTTGAGCTGAAAGGTATAGAGCTGTCTATTTGGCCATAACTGAAGGAAGTTAGAATGGAAGATGGTCCTGTACAGGAGGGATACTGGGATCAGTGGAGTTGCAGAAGGTTTGCTTAGGACCTAACTAGGCATTTCAGTGGGAGTTTTTACCCATTATAAAGATGGAAGGAGAGAAGGGAAAGAGGAAGGGAGGGGGAGAAGGAGGGAGGGACAGAAGAGAAATGGACAATTAAATTTTAAAATGAATAATTAGGACACAAGTATAGAAATGCAAGAAGGTAGATGGGTAATGACTTGTAAACTGTAATTTTTAGCGCATGAAGATTTTTCTGAGTCATTTGCCCTTCATAGATACATCCTTGTGAGGAATCTCTTCTCCTTCCTTTCTGGTCCTCTGAAATCTCTCCCTCCATGGTCTGACAATTTAAATGTATCAAGCTGTGACTCTAAAGCTAGATGACAATGAATAAGAATACATTTGACCATGAAAACTTGCATTTGTTGTGTTTTCTGGGGTGAATTTCAGAACCAAACGGTAGGAATTATTACTTTATTTCCCACTCTACACTGGCATTGAGAGTGCCATGGTTTTAAGTAGTTACCTTTATTCATATAAACAAGTATATGGACATTCAGAAGGCAGTGTGTCAGAATGTGGAATTTCATTACCTAATCTTTTTTCCTGGTTGCCGTTTTTAAAATCAGTGCATGCTTGATGGTTTCAAGTTTATGTTTAAATATTGCATTTTATATCACTTTTAAACCACAGTATAAAATAACACAAGGGCATGGTCAATAGTTTGTTCTCAAACATCGTCAATTTTATTTGAATTCTGGCGATCTAAATTATTTTGATTCCATATAGATCAAAGAAATCTGTCTATTAGAAACAGAATGTGCTCATCTTAGAAAGATCCAGCCCAAAGTAGCTGGAGTATCAAACTATACCTTTCTCTTATAAACTCAGCACTTGGCTATTTGATGACAATTAGCACTTCCTACTGTTTTGGTCTGCATAACTTTACTCATTTCACCCAATGCATTTGCTAAACCAAAACTGTGAAGTGAGTAATAGAGAGGGGGAAAGCGTGCCAAATAAATAGCAGATGCACAAGTACATCTCTTGAATGAGAAAGCATTATTTTGGTTAGAAAACTAAATAAATGGATTTCGTTGTTAGATAGTAAACCCTCAGGGCCTGGTCTCCACTTGCGTTATGAAGTACAGATGGTTTTTAGAATGAATGAGTACATATGTGAACAGGCGCAGAGGGCGCCATAATGCGAGGGTGTGATACATAGTCTTGAACCCAGTAGATGAGAAAGGTACAATAGTTCTGTGATTTTAGCCAATTACAGCAGAGAGAAAGTAAGTTCAAAAATTTTATCAAAATATTATAGAATATCTTAGAAAACATCAAAGCAATAGAAATTTCTTCTGTAATTTGTTTTCTTTCTCTCTCTCTGCCTCCCTCACAATATACATGAATATCTTGTGAAGTTTAGACATAAAAGAAACAAACTATGTATGACATTCAAAAGCATATTGTTTGAGACAGCAACATGACATGACCAAGCACATTTGTTTAATTTAATTTCTAATCCCATAATAAACTATAATTGCCCTATAGCAGAATAGCAGAATGAAGTTCTATCAGTATGAGAACAAAATGCAGTTCAGTAGATATGCCTAGAATGTTTACATCAAAATTTATCAATATTTAAAGTACAAACAACATACAGAATTCATGAAGGATATTCTATATGTGCATATACTTATGTGTGTCAAGGGTAGCATTCTAAACAAGTACAGATCATCTCATAAATGTGTGCTGAAGTATTAGGGAAGGGAGTAAACATGAAATTTCTCCTCACACATTAGACAAATAATTCTCAGAAAAACCAGTGAGATAGGACAGAAAGACAGTGTAGTATGATGTCTCCAAAACCAAGTAAAGGAAGTGGTTTAGGTTTTCGTCAGGGCAAAATGGCAGCCTCAGTGCAGACTTTTAAACCATTCCAATTCCCCTTCCAAAATGGTTAGAGCACCAAGAATAGTGAAAGTAAAACCTCATGAACACCTTCAGCAAAAACAAGGCTCATTCTTACAAACTCTAGTATATGGGCAGGCAAGAAAAATTACCGACTTTTGGCAGTAACAGAGAGGAGAAAAGGAGGAACTTCCAACCTTCTTTGAGCCAGGGGAACAAGACCCAGCAAGTACTCACCTACTAAAGCAGAAGTCTGCTGTTGGATGGAAACCCAGCAGGCAGGTCGGGGAATAATTGCCAAGACCGGAGAGAGGTTACAGAGCAGCAACTCTGTAGATGGGTGTAGCAAAAGTAAAGTGAAACTAGATTGTGCTGGAGTACTCAAGTCCCAGAGCCTCTAGAAATAGCTAACCAAAATTTCCCTCTGGAAGAATAGAACCCCACACTAAGTAAAGTCTACTGAAAATAGAATTCAAATTCATATAAACAGAAAATGTAGAGAAGTCCTATATATAAAGGAAAGAAGTGACCAGAGAAAGCAGAAGGTACAAAGAGGTCCTGTTTGTAAATATCAGAAACAAAAGAGGAAGGGGCCTTAAAGACAAGCATGTCTAGGAAGGCCGTTCTGGTCTGCCGCCACCCCTGTATTATAAATGTCTGGCAAGAAACTGGAAGGATGAAGGAAGGTGAAGCAGAGTCTTTTTCTCTCAATCCATCGCAGTCAGAATCTCAGGCACCAGCTCCCCACTCTTTAAAGCATTATCTCCATTCCCACTGGACAGGCCTGCCAGGATTCCAGATTCCTTCAGGAAGCTCTGGCCCCTGGCCTAACTCCCTTGTCCTGTCAGCCCGGGGACTGGCTGTTGGGCTAATCTTGAAGTGTCTTAATGTCATTTGTTACCTTAGCTCTTATATCAACAGTGAAACTGAATTCCTTCATTCAATTCCTCTTGTTTCAAACACTCATGAAAAATATACTTCCTGAGTTTATGCAAAGAAGAGATGGCTGTCTGTTACCTTCATTTGCAAATGATGACCTCGCATGATGTAAAATTCATGAGCTGCATGTGTTTGTTTTACTAAAGTTCGGAGCAGTGCTTCTAATATGTTAGCCATGCATCTGAATCACCTGGAGGGCATATTAACATACTGATTTCTGAGTTCCACCTCTAGAGAACTGAAATCAGTATGTCTGAGATAGTGGTCCATAGTGGTCCAGAATTTGGCTTTTTTTTTTTTTTTTCTTCTGAGACACAGTTTTGCTCTTGTTGCACAGGCTGGAGTGCAGTGGTGCGTTCTCCACTCACTGCAACCTCTCCCTCCCGGGTTCAAGGGATTCTCTTGCCTCAATTTCCAGAATAGCTGGGACTGCAGGTAACTGCCACCACACATGGCTAATTTTTGTATTTTTAGTAGAGACAGGGTTTTGCCATGTTGGCCAGGCTTGTCTCGCACCTCTGACCTCAGGCTTGTCTTGAACCTCTGACCTCAGGCTTGTCTTGCACCTCTGATCTCAGGCTTGTCTCACACCTCTGACCTCAGGCTTGTGTCGATCCTCTGATCCACCTGCTTCGAACTCCCAAAGTGCTGGGATTACAGGTTGAGCCACTGCGCCTAGTCCATGATTTGGCATTCTAACAAGACCCCAGGTGATACTGAAGCTGTCAGCCTACAGATCGCATTCAAGTGGCTTACCTCTGAAACTTGCTTCATTATCTGCTAGCATTTAATGCTACCTAGAAGATGTCTGAATTCAGCCTCAGTTTTTAAGCTTAATAGGTGACAGGCGTATTCATAAGGCTATCCTTAACCTTGTAGTTCAGAAAATTTTCCAGAATATCATGGCATTAGCCACCCACTGAAAATTTTCTGTTTGATCTGATGCTCGCTACCTTCCTTCATTTTAGAGAAAATATCTTCTAAAATCTTTTTAAGAATTTGTTTCTGTTTCGTTTGTTCTATCCTCTATTTGAGACAGAACCACCAAACTATCCACACGTTGGCCTCCACTATGGCTCCCTCATGCGTGGTGGTTCTCCCAGGTTTCATGCACCTTGGGAGAAGCCCTGCTGAGCCCAGTTCTTCAAATAATTGATGGATTGGGAAGGAAACTAGGCACTCTGATAACTTTGTCCTCACATACATTTCTTTCAAATCTGTTTACTTGGAAAGTAACTCGGCCAGCCAACCATGGATCAGGCTGCTTGCAGAACCTGTGTCTGCATAATGGTAAGTTCATGCAGGC